TTTTTTTTTTTTTTTTTTTTTTTTTTTTTTTTTTTTTTTTTTTTTTTGTTTTTTTTTTTTTTTTTTTGGTGTAAAATGGTGATCGGGGTGAGCCCCGACATGAATAAAATAAGTTGGTGTGCAGTTCATCTTCTTCCTCGGTGTTGTTTTTTTTTTTTTTTTTTTTTTTTTTTTTTTTTTTTTTTTTTTTTTTTTTTTTTTTTTTTTTTTTTTTTTTTAAAAAAAAAAAAAAAAAAAAAAAAAAAAAAAAAAAAATTAGGCTGCTGCCCGGACAGTGTAGGCACAGCCTACACTGTCACAGCCGGCAGTGTGTACATCAAGGGCAAATTTACCATTTTGTCCCTTTATATCAATTTTAAAAATAAAAAGTTAGGGATAAATATGTCATTTTAAATTTAAACATCATTTCAACACATTTTTCAATACAACAACTCAAATAAAATCTATCTCATCTTCCCAAACACAAAAACTAAAATAGCCTACTAAAATAGCCAAAAAGCCAAATAGCCTAGCCTACTAAAATAGCCACTTCCCAAACGAGGCCATTATATTATTGTCAGAAGATTAAATTTTCATCAATGTTCAACCCATCAATGCTTGTGATTTGGACTCTCATCTTTAGTTTGAAGTTTAGAGTCCCCAATTATTGATGCAAAGATAAGAAGCACTTTGAACATGATATATCTCCAGTTTCATGGCATCTTCATTTAAGCAAACTAACGTTTAAGTAGAAAGCTGAACAACCAATTCTCTCATCTTATTTTTCCATTTTCATGTATTGGTTGTGTTTGGTAAGTCAAAGAAGAATGGAATTACAAAAAAAAAAAAATTGTCATCCAAATATGGCTGAAATTGCACCCAGAAAATGAAATGTATAAACTAGATTCATTCTAGGTGTTGTGCATTCCACACCAAATTTAAATCTATGATACACTTCATTCTTGGGGGTTAGTAGCTTTTTCGTTTGATCATAAACTAATTTGAAATTTGAATTCTCAATATTGACCTCTCCATTCCAATCCCTACAGGTATAAGCATAAGCACATCATTGCTACTTTTTGGTGGCTCCTGGCTATATTGGGGATATAGGCAAAGGAATATCATCAATCTCAGAGAGAAGTTCTTTCAGAAAAATGGTGGGATCATGTTACAACAACAACTTTCCATACGTGAAGGATCAGTACAGTCCGCTAAAATCTTTACTGCAGAGGACCTTAAGAAGGCAACAAACAACTACCATGAAAGTAGAATCCTGGGCCAAGGTGGCCAAGGAACAGTCTACAAGGGAGTATTACCAGATAACACCGTAGTTGCCATTAAGAAGTCCAAAGTAGCAGAACAGAGCCAGTCCCAGATTGAGCAATTCATTAACGAAGTCATAATTCTCTCCCAAGTCAACCATAGGAATGTTGTGAAACTCCTAGGGTGTTGTTTGGAGACGCAAGTTCCTTTACTAGTCTATGAATTTATTACCAATGGGACTCTCTATGACCACATACACACTGTAGGTGGCACATCCTCAATAACATGGGAGAATCGTTTAAGGATAGCAACAGAAACTGCAGCGGCCCTTTCATATTTGCACTCTGCCGCTAGCACTCCTATCATTCATAGAGATGTTAAGTCCACTAACATACTATTAGACAACAATTACATTGCAAAAGTATCCGATTTTGGCTCTTCAAGGTTGATCCCCGTAGACCAAACTCAATTAACCACATTGGTTCAAGGTACACTTGGTTACTTGGACCCAGAGTACTTCCAAACAAGCCATTTGACTGAAAGGAGTGATGTTTACAGCTTTGGGGTTGTCCTTGTGGAATTGCTAACCGGCAAGAAAGCAATTTCTTTTGACAGGCCTGAAGCAGATAGAAATTTAGCAATGTATTTTATTTCAGCAATGAAAGAAGATCACTTGTTTGAAATTGTTGATGAACAGGTGATAAATGATGCAAAGGCTGACCAACTAAAGGAAGTCGCTATTTTAACAAAGAGATGCTTAAGAGTGAAAGGTGACGAAAGGCCAACCATGAAGGAAGTGGCAATGGAGCTAGAGGGATTGAGAATGATGGAGAAAAACTCATGGTTAAATGACAAGAAAAATTTAGAAGAGACTCAGTATTTGCTTGGAGATCAACTTTCAGATGCTTATAGTGGTGGCACTAGTATGAGCAATTCAGCAGCTTGTGATAGCATAGCAAAACATGTCATGTCACCATTTCATAGTGGACGATAAGGTGTTACTTATGATGGTCTATGTTCCTTAGATGTTTTGTAATATTTTTATTTCAGCCAATTTGTCAAATAACCCTGTGAATTGTTTGGAATATTTGGTTATATATGTTGAGGTTGAATTTGTTTGATTTTAGACTTTGAGCATCAAATGTTTTTCTTGAAAGGTAGCTATTGATGCAAATCCTTCTTTATGTATCAGATGAATAATGAATAATAAAACTTTGCAGTTTGGAGCACATCTACACACTCTATAAATGAAGCACCATCAGTACCACTTTACCTTTTCATTTCATCGTCACAAACAAATGATTTTATTGTCGTTTAAAAGTCCAGCTGATGCAGTATGGTTAGATAACAAGTTGATGGATCAATTTAACAGTTTGAATCAAATTTGATAACTTAGGAGAATTTCCAAATGTTGGATCAGCCCTGAAGGACCCATAGTCGATATGAAACAACCTAATTCCAAAACTTTTACATCATTTGCTTTTTTATCAATTTTAAATTACTTCAAGATCATTAAGGGCTTAATGAACTGGGATAAGGTCAGATGGGACAGAATCCTAACACTTTATTGGGATGTTAAAACTCGAGTATTGCCACAGACAACTACTTTTCATGTTACAGCCAATGTACCCACAAGAAAAATTACTAAAGGGCTTTGTTGGTCAAGTGGTACCAATTGGCCTTTCAATTTGTCAGGCCCTCAAATCCTCATATTATCTTGATGATCCTAAAGTGGGCTCATCAAAGCAAGATAAACCCAAATTTTTCTACTTTTCTGATGCTTACTACAATTAACTTTCAAGTCTATAATTGATTAGATGTTATTGTTGGAAAAATAATGGTTTTTTGGTGACTTTAATGCAATATTAAAGTGGGTGCCAAACCTCAATGGAGGTGGATTAAAGTGGATTTAGATTCTTTGTAATGAAATCTTTACACCACAAAAAGAATGACCAAAAACCATTGGGATTTGAATGAGAAATTGACTCATTAAGTTGTTCTCATGAAAGAGGTGTTGGGAAAGGTGTAAAACCTTGTATCCCACATTGATTGTAGAGGAGAACATTGATGGGTATTTAAATCCCATTTTTTGCCTAAGGGTGTGAGTTCTTTGGGGCGTCCAAATTTTCCGAAAGAAGGGAGTTATGGATGCTTCAAGGATGGACTTCGGCCAAGACTATGGTCCAAGTTGGTTATGCAAAAATTACCGCCCGCCCGGACCGCCGTGAGGCTTGGGGGTTGGGCTTGGCCTACCCATCTTAATCTTTTTGGGCCAAGCCAGATCTGTGGACTGCAGAAATATATACACAAAACCTATGTGATGGATTTAATCCATCAGTTTTGCAAGCTAATACAAAATTGAATCCTGCATTTGTTGCAGGAGAGCCTCTTCCTCTCTCCCTCCATGTGTATAAAAGGAGGCCCTCTCCTTCAGCTTTCTACACTAGAAATTGGTCTTCCTATCTTCAAAAGTTTTATATTATATTCTTCCTGTGAGAGAGTGCTGCAAAGTTCTGTTTGCCGAAACTACTCAGTCAGTGCATTGCTGTAGCTGGTCCAACCGTCGTATCCCAGGAGACAGACGTCGAACAACCTCTAGCACCCAATCGGTGAAGCGGTGAATCTATTTTAAGGAAACTGTCTAGTGCAGGCTTCGGTTTGCTTCCTTTTGCTAGTTTTATTTTATTATGAATTTCTGTAAATTTCAATATGTTCTTGTTCTGAAATTCAAAATGGTTGTTCAATATAAATCTATTTGTTTTTATTTAATTACACAATATGTACAACAAACTTAAAACAGAGTAGTATTTTTCATGAAATTAGAACAAATAAATTCATATGTAATTGGACTAGTTATTTTTCCTAGGATTGTACACTATTATAAGATTGCTTACTATTTCATTAATAGGAATTTTGTCTTATGTAATTGGACAAATATGTAGTTCATTGTCCTTATGTACATCTCTTCATGTGGGTAGTAAATAAGTACTACATTGTCCCCATAAATCTGCTTCTATTGCACAGATTCATTTTTTCTTTTAATCAAGGTTACTGTTTCTTTTATATCACTGAACATGATTGTAAATCAATTTGACTTGCATGCTGCTCTGTCGTTTCTATGAGTTCCTATATTGCATGGTATAAGGCTTAATGAATTGGAAAAAAAGACCAACATTTGTTTGCTACTGTTTTGTCTAGAAATTCGGTACCTATTTTTTCGCTAATAGTTCACTGTTTTTCCCTGGAAATACAAGATTGTAAATTATGCAATGTTATCCTCTAATTGCTTAGTTCAATTAGAATGCTCTAGCATAATTTGCATACTTAATTGTTTTAGTATGATTTTATTTTATGAGTATGGTTCATAATTCCCTACCATGATTTGCATGACTTTCAATTTTATAATATACTTTGCTTGCTTATGGGTGTTGTAATTTTTGTCATGCCTATTATTTTCTTGATTTTAGTATATCTTACATGATTTAATTTCTAGAATTATTTGCATGTTAATTGCTAAATGGTTATTGTATAAATTAATTTTTAAATTTAAGGTTTTGGAGTTATCAATTTTTTTTTAACTTGTCTATGTTTATTTACATATTTATTGTGTAATAATTTTGTATATATATAACTCATGGGTGTTACCTTTTAATTTAATTCTTAGAGTTATAGGTTTATTTTTGTAACCCATCTATCTTTTGATTCATTAGTGACTTTTGCCATTAACTAGGGTACTAGAAGGTTTAGATTAATTTATTGTTTTTACAGTTTTTTTTTTTCCTCCAATTATCTGCTTTGTATTTTTTTGTGGTTTTGTGCTAACTTTCTTTACAGGCAATACCTATGCAAAATGGAATGGAAAAAATATATATAAATCCAAATAAATAGGATTTGGAACTGTAAAACAAAATTATGGACTACTAACCTTTGTGTTTAACAGGAATACCTAAGCGGGGAAAGAAATTTTTGGACTAAATGAAATCCTTATGGATTGGTTACTGTCTTTATCATTGAAGCAATTTTTTGCTTGAGATTTAGTAGTGATTACTTACCAATGTATTTAAGCAACTTTTATTTGCTTGTAATTGTTGTAGCAATTTTTCCATTGCTTATAATTTCGTTAGCAATTTTTAAATTGCTTGTAAGTTTGGAACTTGGTTTGTTTTAACCTAGTCAATCCCTTGGAAAATTTAATTCTAAAAATTGTCTCCCATGAACTAGGAGTCAACATACTCTTGAAAGTTTTATCAAAAGGTTAACTGAGTTTTAAGTGGGACCGATGTGACCCCTCCAGTCTTCTTGGGAATATTCCTGACCATGTTCGATTCTAGGTTAAGTGGTGAGACTAGTTTTGAATTGAATTTCCAACTATGAGATTTTCTAGTGTTAATAATTTCTGGAAACACAGAAAGTGAAATTATGTTGTATTTTTTCAGAAATGGCAATGGTTACCGATGCTATTGCTGCTGCTAATGTTGGTGGAGATCAGAAGCCCGGGGCAACTGGCTTGCCAATCCCTACTGCTGTGACCTCTATGGTCAACACGGTTGTTGTGACCTTTGTGGTCAACCCTGTTGTTGCTCCTGCTATTCCGGGAGGCCTGCTCAACCATCATGAGCACCCAGAGAAGTTCACGGGATTGAATTTGAAGAGGTGGCAACAGAAAATGTTATTTTACCTGACTACTCTAAGCCTTGCGAGATTTTTGAGTGAGGATTCACCAGCTGTGGCAGAGAATGAGCAAGACAAGCAGAAGCTCATGGCTCTAGATGCTTGGAAGCAGTCAGACTTCCTTTGCCGAAACTATGTTCTGAATGGCTTGGCAGATTCACTTTCAACGTGTTTATGCCAAAAAGTCGGCAAAGGAGCTGTGGGATGCTTTGGACAAGAAGTACAAGACCGAGGATGCTGGGGCCAAGAAATTTGTTGCTGGCCGGTTTCTGGACTTCAAAATGGTGGACTCAAAAATTGTCATTAGTCAAGTCCAAGAGTTCCAAGTAATTCTGCACGAGATTTATGCAGAGGGAATGTTCCTGAGTGAATCATTCCAGGCAGCTGTGCGAATTGAGAAGCTGTCTAACGGCTGGAAAGACTTTAAGAACTACTTGAAGCACAAGTGAAAGGAGATGACAATCGAAGAGCTCGTTGTCAGGCTTTGTATTAAGGAAGACAACAGAAAGAAAGGAGGGAGTACCTCCACGGTGAAAGAAAACGTGGTTGAGCATGGCTAGTCCTCGGAGGTGAGAAAAAAATCACCAACAAGCAAAAGCTCGAAGTTGGGGGTGAGAGGCGGTGTCTCCAAAAGGCCAGTCTACAAGCCATATGGACCTACTTTTAGGTTCAATAAAAAGTGCTTTAACTGTGGAAGCAATGAGTATCGGGTGGTTGACTGCTGCAAGAAGAAGAAGCCTTACAAGAAGTACCCTCCACAAAACAAAAGGTGGGCTCACATGGCTGAGATGGAAGATCTATCACAAGATGTGGATGACATGCATCTGGCAGCCGTCGTCTCAGAAGTGAATATGGTGTGATCTTCGAAACAGTTTCAAATGGTGAGAAGTTGTTCATGGGGAACTTGCCACCTCGACTATTAAGGGAAATGGCAAGGTGGTCCTGAAGATGATTTCAGGAAAAGAGTTGACTCTAAACGATGTTCTATTTCTGCCGGACATTCATAAGAACCTCGTTTCAGGGTTGTTCTTGAGTAAGCATTGCTTCAAAATGGTGTTTGAGGCTGATAAGGTCGTGTTGACCAAGAGCGAGGTCTATGTGGGGAAAGGGTATATGTCGGGCGGTATGTTTAAGCTCAATGTAATGACTCTTGTCCCGGAAATTAATGAGAAAGCTTCTTCTTCTGCTGGTATACTTGAGTCCCTCATTTATGGTATGGTAGATTGGGTCATGTAAATTTTGACTCTTTACGTAGATTAATCAAATTAGATCACATACCATCTTTCAAGATTAATCCAAATCACAAGTGTGAAACTTGTGTAGAAGTAAAATTGACAAGGACTTCTTTTCATTCTATTGAAAGAAGTATCGAGCCTTTAGATTTAGTGCATAGTGATGTGTGTGACTTGAAAGTCATACAATCACATGGTAGCAACAAGTACTTCATCACTTTTGTTGATGATTGCACTAAATACTGTTATGTGTATTTACTTAAAAGCAAAGATGAGGCGATTGATAAATTTATTCTTTTCAAGAATGAAGTTGAGAATCACCTAAGCCGCAAGATCAAGGCTTTAAGAAGTGATCGTGATAGTGAGTATGAATCCCCGTTTGCTGAGTTGTGTGCTCAATTTGGGATTATTCACCAAACCACAACGCCTTATTCCCCTCAATCAAATGGTGTTGCTGAGCGAAAAAATAGGACGTTAAAAGAAATGATGAATGCAATGTTAATAAGTTCTGGGTTGCCACGGAACTTGTGGGGGGAAGCAATTCTCTCCTCGAATTATATTCTTAATAAAATACCTCGAAAGAAAGTGGACAAGACTCCATATGAGTTATGGAAAGGCCAAAAGCCTTCATATAAATACCTACGAATGTGGGGGTGTCTTGCAAAAGTAGAGGTGCCTACACCCAAGCGAGTTCGGATAGGACCAAAGTCAGTGGATGTATATTCATTGGCTATGCACATAATAGTAGTGCTTATCGATTTCTTGTGTATAGGTCTGTTATTCCAAATATACACAAGAATACTATCATGGAATCAAGAAATGCATCTTTCTTTGAAGATGTATTTCATTGTCGTCTCCAAGAAGGGATTCTGAATTCCATGAAAGAGGTCGAAGGTGACGATGATCACATAGATGATCAAGTCAATGATCAAGTCGATGATCAAACTGAGGAAGTAGATGAGCCAAGAAGGAGTAAAAGGGCTAGGAAGTCCTTTGGTCCGGACTTCTTGACTTGTACATTAGAGGGAGAACCTCGAACTTTCCATGAAGCCATGAATTCACCTGAAAGTCCTTTGTAGAAAGAAGCAATTAAGAGTGAGATTGACTCCATCTTACAAAACCATACTTGGGAGTTGGTTGATCTATCCCTAGGCAGTAAAGCCTTGAGAAGTAAGTGGATCTTTAGAAGGAAGATGAAAGCTGATGGGTCAATTGATAAGTATAAAGCTTGACTAGTTATCAAAGGATATAGGCAGCGAGAAGGCATGGATTACTTTGATACGTATTCACCTGTGACAAGGGTTACATCCATTAGCATGGTGATTGCAATAGCAGCTTTACGTGGTCTGGAGATACATCAGATGGATGTAAAGACAGCTTTCTTAAATGGAGATTTAGATGAAGAATTCTACATGGAGCAACCCGAGGGGTTTTCAGCTCCAGGACAAAATAAGAAAGTCTATAAGCTTGTCAAATCATTGTATGGTTTGAAGCAAGCTCCTAAACAATGGCATGAGAAGTTTGACAATACTATGTTGTCAAATGGATTCAAAATCAATAAATGTGACAAATGCGTATATCTCAAAGACACTGACAGAGGTCAGGTCATTTTGTGTCTATACGTTGATGACATACTCATTGTTGGTAGTAATAATGAGATGATTAGAACTACCAAGAGATTGTTAAACTCTAAGTTTGACATGAAAGATATGGGTCTTGCAGATGTAATTCTAGGTGTTAAGATTATCAGAACATCTGATGGTATTGTACTTTCCCAATCTCACTATGTTAAGAAAATACTTGAGAAATTTGGTAAATCAGATACAAGTGTATCTAGGACACTGGTAGACTTGAGTCTACACTTGACCAAGAATAATGGTGAGAGTGTCTCTTAGCTAGAACATTCTCGGGTCATTGGAAGTTTGATGTATCTGATGAGTTGTACAAGGCCGGACATAGCCTACTCGGTTAGCGAGCTTAGTAGATACACGAGTAATCTGAATGCTACTTATTTGAGGGGCATTATGCGGGTGTTAGGTTATCTACGCTACACCTAGG